CATATAGTTGAGGTTTCACTTAATTGTACTTTTTTTAAATTTTAGTTTTATTATGCTGTAGATGTGTATATAGGTGTTGATCTACGCTATAATTAATTGGTGTATAGATGAAAACTTTGTCCACCTCATTATTTACTTCGTTTCTTGTTTTCAACATCTGCAGAAATTTCAGCTTTACAAATGCCACACATGGTGTGAGGGCAGCATCATGCTGTCAAACTAATTGTTGTCACGGGCCACATGGTAATTTTAGTTTCCCTCAGAGGACCAAAATTGGGATTTGCAATTTTGTATTTAGCAAGAAACATGAAGTCAGTGCTCATGACTTACCTTTGTGTAGTGGCCCCCGTACTTTGAGTTTGACATCTGTGCATCAGATGATGCTCCTGCCGTGTAATTGGGGCACAGCGTACATTAGCGTGGAGGCCACAATATCAAGAAATGCAGTACAGGTATTTGAAATTGGTCAAAGTTGCCTTTGGCATTTCTAATTTGTGGATTTTGCTGATGATTTCAGGGTCTGCGGAGTATCACACAGACAGTCGGATGCTTTGTGTCGCTTTACATCATCTCCCCAAAACTCACAGGCTTGACCGTGGTGGTGCTCCCCTGTCTAGTAGGGGCAGGGGCTCTCATCGGCTCGTTCCTCCGCAGACTTTCACGTTTGGCTCAAGAACAGGTGAGGCGAGGCGAGGCTGTTTCTCCACTTCTTAAACAGACTGGATTAACACTGCATGGTTCAAGTGACACCCATTTCATTTTTTTCCTTTGCTCACAAGTGGCACAATTTTAAAATGCGTCATGGCAGCGTGAGCGGAATGAGGCACTTGGACCTGGAGTGTAAATCCAGCCATAGTCGCATATGTCTTGTCTAAATCAGATGAGAAATGTATCGCAATGAGCGGAATGAGGTACTTGGACCTGGAGTGTAAATCCAGCCATAGTCACATACAGTATGTCTTGTCTAAATCAGATGAGAAATGTATCGCAACTATTGTGTGTTACCACAAAGGTTGCTAAATCTACCGGAGTGGCGGATGAGGCTCTAGGTAATGTACGGACAGTGAAAGCCTTTGCCATGGAGGAGCGGGAGCTACAGTAAGTGAAACGTGTTTGATTTGATGTACTCAAAGTTGTGAGATGTGTTCAGATAAAATTCTTCCATTTCCACCATGTATCTCCCAGGTTGTACGCGTATGAAGTTGAAAAGTCTTGTGAAATGAATGAAAATCTTGGGACTGGAATTGCTGTCTTCCAGGGACTTTCAAACATCGCCCTCAATTGTGAGTCTTCATTTTCACCACTGATGAAAAAATAATATGTTTGTCACAATTTTTTTTTTTTTAATACGTCAATGCAGGCATTGTTCTGGGAACTATTTTTGCTGGGGGAACTCTCATTTCGAGCAATGAAATGTCACCTGGAGACCTCATGTCCTTCTTGGTTGCTTCCCAGACGGTGCAGAGGTAAAAGATGCATCTCATCTGATGAATATGCCTTAAATCAGAGCGATTTTAACCAATTTTCTTTTTTTTTTTTTTGCAATTATTAGGTCCTTAGCCAGTATATCTATCCTTTTTGGGCAAGTAAGTCATATCTAGTAAAATGCAGGATAAGTAGCTTGTTGCCTTTGGTTTGCTCTCGTTGCTTCCACCTGTTCTCTCCAGATGGTGAGAGGAACAAGCGCCGGTGCTCGTGTTTTTGAATATTTGTCATTGAAGCCTACCATTCCTCTTTCCGGCGGGGGGCGCATCCCATATCATTCTCTGGCAGGAAGAGTTGATTTTCTCAACATTTCATTCAGGTTGTAGCCTTCATTTGGACATTTCATGAACAGAAACTTTAAACTGTACCATTTGGGGTATGTTTTTATTTTTTTGTGATTTTATATTTGTAGCTATCCAACACGACCAGGCCATATAATTTTGGACAGGTTCAACCTAACTTTGCCACCTAGCAAAACAATCGCCATTGTCGGGGAATCTGGAGGAGGTAATTTCATAATGAATGATGCAATGAGACAGCTCGATGCAAACTGTACAATAATGTGCATGATGTATTATTTATTTCAGGCAAATCCACAGTAGCAGCCTTATTGGAGCGTTTCTATGACCCGACGAGTGGGGTGGTAATGTTGGACGGACTCGACATTCGAACCCTTGATCTTTGCTGGCTCAGGGGACAAGTTATTGGATTTATCAATCAAGTAAAAGAAAATTATCTTTCATTCAAATTTTGTAGGAAAAAAAAGTCATAAAGAGGGACCTCCATGCTCACAGATGCCCAATTATTGAATAAATAAATGTCTCTTTAATTAGGTGTGTTGTTTTTAATCCATCGGGAAAAAATATTGGGCCTTTGCTAACTTTAATTAATCGAAAAAAATTCTTAAAATTAGGCTCAGTTATCAATGCCTGTGTGCCCCACCTTAAGTGAGTTTTGTGTTTGTACATGACCACTTAATGGCAAAAGACAATTGTTACAATGAGCTCACATAATGAGTTTCATTTGAACTGTGTCACGTTCTCCTCCGCAGGAGCCTGTTTTGTTTGGAGCGTCTATCATGGAGAACATCCGCTTCGGGAAGCCCGAGGCCACCGACGCCGAAGTCTTTGAGGCTGCCAAGCAAGCCAATGCTCACCGCTTCATTACAAGTTTCCCAGATGGCTACAACACCGTGCTCGGTACGAGATCTTAATAACATGTCCCCTTTTGTTCACACGTCAGCTTGCTCAATGCAGCTCTGCTTACCGTTTTGCTCTGACATGGTCGTCAAGGAAATTTCAACAAGTGAAATGGGAATCTCTTCTTTACAATGTGTCAGGCTGTGTGTAGTCTGGTGGCCGTTCTGAAGCCGCAACTTGAAAGTGGCTCAGGATTTTAACCCAGGCTAGATAGTCGTGTGGTAAGTTGTGACTATTATATAAATAACTGCTCACTCACCGACACATTGTCAGGAAGAGGCAGGCAAAAGACTCACTTGGTTGTTTAATTTTGCACTAAATGAGTGGGTATGCATTCCAGAGACCGTATTATCTGTATACAAGCCATTAAAGTTGTTCATAATGTATCCCCTTTACATCCCAGGCGAACGTGGTGTGACATTATCAGGAGGCCAGAAACAGCGTGTCGCCATCGCCCGGGCCCTCATTAAGAATCCGAGCATCCTGGTGCTGGACGAGGCCACCAGCGCCTTAGATGCTGAGTCGGAACGTGTGGTTCAGGAGGCTCTGGACCTGGCCACCCGGGGCCGTACTGTGCTCATCATCGCCCACCGCCTGAGCACCATCCAGGCGGCTGACCTCATCTGCGTCATGAGCAATGGGCGCATTATAGAAGTGAGTTTGGCCGAATGTTCTCAGCATGAATTGGTGAAAAAATTGTCTGCAGTCAAGTAATTGTTGTTCACTAAACTCTGCACATCTTTCAGTTGTCTGACTATAATTTGTAAAAACTTTTTAAGGCTGGAACTCACACGGAACTGCTGGGCCGAGGCGGACTGTATTGCGACCTGATCCGAAGGCAAAGAGCTGAGGGACGGAAATGAACCGTGCTCAATATGTTTATAAATGTTAATTATAGGACGACATGGTCGACTGGCCTCACAATGGAGAGGTGCAGGGTTCGATTCCGGCTTCGGCCTCCCTGTGTGCAGTTTGCATATTCTCACCATGCCTGCGTGGGTTTTCTCCAGGTATTCTGGATTCCTCCCACATTCCAAAAACATACATGCAAGTTAATGGAACACTCTAAATTGTCCCTAGGTGTGAATGTGAGCACGAATGGGTGTTCGTCTACGTGTGCCCTGCGATAGGCTGGCAACCAGTTAAGGGTGTACGCCGTCTACTGCCCAAAGACACCTGGAATAAGCTCCATCGTGCCTGTGACCCTCGTGAGGATAAGTGGATTCCAAAATGGATGGATGGATGGACTTTAATTTTACATTACCTCAGTCAAATGATTTATAAACGATAAGAAGTTGTTGTTTTTAATTTAAGTAAGGTAACTGGACCAGATGTGGGAAAAAAACACTACTACGATGTCTTTAAGATTTCTTAAATTGTTTACCTCAATCCAAAGCTTAGTCTACATGATTTATGAATAAAATGTTTTAGTGAAATTGTGACTATGTGTGTCTTTTTATTTTTGGCAAATGTATCTTTTAAATTGTTAAAATACGATGTTTTTAATACTTTATGTGATACTGTATATTATTAGAACAGCATGACTTGTTTTGACAAGCGTTGTAATACAAGTGTTGGTCTTTAGGGGGGGCCAACAAGCTCCACTGTTCAGAGCGCTACGGAGCAGCAAGGTTTTGCTAGCGTGAAGCTAACGCTAGCAATCATAACAGCCCCCCCACCTCCCAACTAAATTCGGGGCTTGGTCATAGGGCTGTTCCGTTGGCTACCTATCAGCTGGCTAAAACGGCGACCATGCAGAAATATGAGAAACTCGAAAAAATCGGCGAGGGTAAGCTTTTTTTTTGGAAATCTATACTCGCTGCTATATCAGCTATTTGTTGTTGAGGCATTTATTTAGCTTATGGATTAGCTGATCTTAGCTTCAATTTTACGTCTTTTGCTTACTTTGGTTGTAGATTTAGTGATTGGGAGGTCGATGTAAACGTGTCCATGAATAATATATAAATACTGTAGTATATATATGTCGGCCTCCATCTTGTTAGCGTTTAGGAGATGATCTAACTAGCTCGCATATTCATAGTGCCATTCAATCTGAGCTAATTTTTTTTTTTTTTTTGGGGGGGGGGGGTTGTTTTTTTCCTAAATAATTCCACAGGTACATACGGGACTGTGTTCAAGGCTAAAAACAGAGAAACCCACGAAATAGTGGCCCTGAAACGAGTCCGTTTGGACGATGACGACGAGGTGTGTGTTTGAATTATTGTGCATACTCGTCTCTAGCACGGTGATGGCTAACCGCTTTCCACCCCCTACAGGGCGTGCCAAGCTCTGCCCTGAGAGAAATCTGCCTGCTGAAGGAGCTCAAGCATAAAAACATAGTCAGGTCAGCGCATTAGGTTCATGATATCCGTAGCATATGAGTGTCTTTGAGAATCATAAATGTGTGAATGCTGAAGAGCCCCTTTTCTTTAGCATGGCATAAGTTTCACTCATATTTAACAGTTTTTTTAAAGTAACAACTGTCATTACTCCGCGATTGGCTGGCAACCAGTTCAGGGTGTCCCCCGCCTACTGCCCGAAGACGGCTGGGATAGGGTCCAACATCCCCCGTGACCCTTGTGAGGATAAGCGGATCGGAAAATGGATGGATGTCATTACTGACACTTTAACATCCAACAATCAGCTAATCAAGTGTTGTCATCCGTGTTTATTGTTTACCTTCAAGTAGCTCCCCATGGCTAATATTTCTCCGACTTCACCTGGATGGAATGCATACAGTATAAATTCGGCGGGTAAAGTGGTAGCACTGTTGTAATGGAGCATTTACAGAGTCCCTCGTCGGAGAAAGGGCGTACAGTATCAGTGTATCCTAATTTTGACTTCAACTTCAAATTTCTGATGAATTGCACATTTATCAAGAGAGAAAAAAGCCCCTCAATAATGTAAATAACTAACAACAAAATATTTAGTTTTTTTATTCCAATTTTCCGTGACAAAATTCTCGCATCAACTGAGAACTTTAACTCGTTTGCGTCTAATTTACAATTTCCCAGTGAATTCAGAAAATTCCACCCCACAAAAATATATAATAATCCCAAAGCGTGAACCTCCTTAAAGAGCTCCCAATTTACCATGAGAAGATTCTTAAATGAATAATTACAGTTATTGAAGACTCGAAACTGCCCCAGGTCTGAATGTAGGTGTGAGTGACTTTTACTTAGTGAATGACTTTAAATTGGTCAGATTTTTTTTTTTTAATCAGAAGTTTTGAGAACATTCCCTAAATAGTGGAGAAATTTAAAAAGTTCACATTTCCTCAACCAATTCAAGCCTTCAAAACAGTAACTTTATACTATTCAATCACTTTAAACTACCCACCTTGAAAAAGTATCCAAAATTTCACATTGTTTTCTACATTTCAATGCACATGCAAATTCTACATACATTTTTATTTGTAATTTGAATGGCTAATTCTGTCCTTTGCAGGCTACACGACGTGTTGCACAGCGACAAGAAGCTAACGTTGGTCTTTGAATATTGTGACCAGGTCAGACCAACTTGCATCTGACCACTTGCAGACACTTGAGCTAATAATTACCTTTTTTTTTCAACGCACAGGATCTAAAGAAGTACTTTGACAGTTGCAATGGAGATTTAGACCCTGAAACAGTGAAGGTGAGAAATCAGATTTGTGGGTGGTTTTACACTGCATATCTAAGTGCCCAATTCCAATTTCATACCTGAATATCTATTTTTTAATTTTCCAATTCCATGCACATTTCAAGAAACATCTGATCTGGCTGTGCTTACATTGACAGAACACTTGAAACAATCTGCTCGCTGTTTGACGCGTATCCCAATTGTGACACTTGAGACCAAAAAGTCGGAACAGTGTCATGCAGCGTTAATCAGCGTCAGTGCACGTGCCAATGTCTTTCTGCTTCTTTGCAGTCGTTCATGTTCCAGCTGTTGAAAGGGCTGGCTTTCTGTCACAGTCGTAATGTCCTTCACAGAGATCTTAAGCCGCAGAATCTCCTCATCAACAGGGTGAGTGAACCTCAGATGACATGTACGTATAATATCATACATGCGTTTCATTCAAGTTTGCGTTTACAGAACGGCGAGTTGAAGCTGGCTGATTTCGGGCTTGCTCGAGCATTCGGGATTCCTGTGAGGTGTTATTCAGCCGAGGTGAGCTCACGCATGGCGTGCTAATTGCTAACTAGCTTAATGTTGAACGCGCAACCCTCTGTAATCATTAAAAGATGTGGATGTGGCCATGTATATTCAGAACAGCGCTCTGCATCATATAACAGTTCATCAATAAAATATGTTGTTTTGAACGAAGCACTCTCACACACTGCAGAAATTTTGAAATTAGGGATGTTTGAGAACACTTTTTTCAGACCGACACCAGTATGAGGACTGATACCAAGTGCTGACACCACGAGTATTTTGATACATTAAAAAAAAAACAGCAGCAGCAAAAAACAAAAAAACATTGAACATTTTATAGAAATACAAATATATACCAATACATATATTGCATGAATAGAATGGCAATTTCCTATTATCTTAATGGGCATATGTCAGACTTGCCTTTAGTTCCCAATTGTAAAACGGCCATGAGAAAAATACTGCATTTCTTCAATAACTCACCGGGGTCATTTCTGAACTCAACTGCAAAGTGCCAGCTGTTTTATTAGAGGTATGAGATTTGTGTTTTTACAATATTTGTAGTATACACAAATATGTTTTCATTCATGCTCTCTGCGGGGGTTTGCATCAAAAATATATAGAGCAGTGTAATATGAATTTTTCCACGAGAGATTATAATTAGTACAATAAATTAAACAAAGCCAATAAACATGTATAAATTATATTTCAAAAATAAAACATTTAAAATGTTTTAACTTGTCTTGATCATAAATGGTTCCTGACAAAAATGAACAAATTAGAAGTGTCTGTGGAATCATTTGTCTATAAAATATAAAAAAGTACACCCCTTCATAACACTATGTCCTTATAAACAGAAAACAACAATAACAACAAAAAAGAAATATAGTTCTTAACATCGTCTTTTAATATAGCTGCCTTTATTTTCATCAGTGTTCAATTATTTTTTCCCTGTTGTGTCTTAAGCATTTGTTCACTGCACTTCATGTCTGCTGTGCTCTGCTCAGTGCAGTGTGTGCACGTGCTCGGTGCAAAAAAAAAAAAAATCTATAAAAATCCAATTTCCTGCACATACTCTGCCATTGACAGTGCCACTGCCACCTACTGTAGTGGATGTGCAATTAGACTTTAATCTAGGACAGAAAAAAAAAGAAATCCTGCTCCCCCGAGGTCACACGTGCCCCCCTATTTAACCCCTATTTAAGAAAGACTGATGTCGATCATGATGTCAATCTGTAACAGGTATTTATATCCCCAAAAGAGGTGTTTATTTAAGGTGGGGCGTTCATTCAAGTGGCTGAGCCGTTTATGGAGACAAGTTGTCTCTACGAGGTCACTATTTAAGGGACATACCCGCTGTTATTTGTGGCCTCGTGTCAATCCCGATGAGCCGCTTTTCTAAAAGTTTTGTTGCCACGGCTCAATGTTGAAGAAAGGCAGGTGGCTCTCAGATGCCTTTGGTGGTTCTCAAGTAACGTTGGGGCTGAGCAAGGCAATCTCATGAGCTGGCAACAGTGGTGGAGATGGTGATTTATGTGCTGAAGGGGAAGAACTTGAGCCAATGTGACACTCGTTGAGGTGGCCACACTTTGGAGCAATGACAATTGGAAGTGAGGTGCTGTTGAAAGGTTAGATCTTTTTCATTTACGTTACCCATGAGAGCATTTGCACCGCTTATGCTAGAAGAAAAGCAATCAAGTACATAGGATTTAGGTTGTGGCCATCTGCACTTTTAGTTAATAATGTGAAGAACATTTCCTGGCAGTGCAGTGGCATAGTGCTCAGCACGTGTGCCTTGTGGTTAAGAAGTCCACAGTTGCTTCCTTGGCACAAGGCACCTGCAGTCCTTCCTCCACCACTTAGAAGTGTACAAAGGCACTTCAACGCCCCCCAGCCCCCAAAAAGGCTTTAAAAATCACTTCATACCGTGTCGTGTTTCTCTATTATGTACTCTACATTTTTTTTGACGAATTGAAACACTTTGTGCCCCTTTCAGCGGCAGTGAAAATGGAAGCTTTTTGTGATTTTTGTGATTTAATGTCTTTGCTCTCTCTGCTGCACTTGACTGCACTCACTCTCAGTAAAATGTCAAAGGCTCTACACACCACCGCAGGCAGTTGACATGAAAAGACGAGGGGGAGAAGCATCAGTCAAATGTGATGCTGACTACATAAGAGAGGAGTTTCCATTCAGAATGAACTTTTTATTTATTTATTTTTTTGCATGATTGATCACATTGTGTGTTTGTGTGCACGTGCGTGCAGGTGGTGACATTGTGGTACCGACCCCCAGATGTGCTGTTTGGTGCTAAACTTTATTCTACCTCCATTGACATGTGGTCTGCTGGCTGCATATTTGCAGGTAGAATTCTCAGTGGAGCCGCACGCACACACTCATTAGACTCTTCATTAGGTGCAACATCGCAGTTGAACCATCAGAAACAAACAATGTTACTTTTTGAATGACACTGTAAAAAGATGTATACATTGTAAATTGTTGTCAAAGTGATCGTGGTATTAGTGTAGGACTGCACTGAATCATGTTGGGGTTTTTTTTTCCCCCTCTAATGTTTTGCAGCTTACTAAGGTTAGCATAAGCAATATCAGAAACGACAAGCCCAGCAATTAACGTTGTGTGATGACTATCAATGAAAACTGAACGTTATCATTTGTAAAGACCTAATATTTAATACAGACTCCTAGTTTGTCTAGTATCATTTGTCTGACATGCTTTTGGATTCAGAGCTCGCTAACGCCGGAAGGCCTTTATTTCCCGGGAACGACGTGGACGACCAGTTGAAAAGAATCTTCAGATATCTTTTTCTCAGCGTGTTGATGAAGTTTGGATTACAGAATTTAGGGTGGATTAAATTGGAGGTCCAAATGCCCAATTCCAAATTTCCATAATGCAAAATAAGAGCAAAAAAATCCCAAATTTGTTCACTTGAGCCATGTGGCAGAAATCCAGCTTTTGTTTGGTTTTCTTTGACCACCTGACTGACACGTTGTTGGGCACGCCGACAGAAGAGCAGTGGCAGACCATGACCAAGCTCCCAGACTACAAGGTACCACATTTAATAACGTGACATATGTGATGTGAGCACACTGCCAAAGACAAACTTCCTGTCTTTGCAGCCATATCCTTTGTATCCAGCCACCACCTCACTGGTCAACGTGGTGCCCAAACTCAGTAGCACAGGTCGAGACCTACTCCAGGTACGAGACACGACATTCTGCAGAATGACGGAGTGGTCCAAAGTCTGGACAGGGTCTTTTTGAAGACCCGCATATATTTTTATTGGCCTGAAGCGCATTGTAATCATAAAATTACACAGAGCCCACATCAAAAGGATTTGTTAAAAATACTGAACTCATGAAAATATAAAATGGAACAAGTTAAATGTTACCTGATTGAAAATTAGTCAAATTTTTTGATTGTGTTT